ACCTATTAACCATGTTTTAGATGTGTTGCAAATATTTTTATATTCTATTACTTGTCCTTTAACTTTTTTATATGTATATTACTATATAGTTAAATATTTAATATAGTCATATTGTCAATATTTACTTTATAGCTTCTGGGGTTGAATATTTTACTTCAGGTCATGAAAAAAATATTCTATTTTCTTCTAAAAGTCCTTAGATTCTACATATTGATTTTTAACTCACCTGAATATTTCTTGTATAATGTATGAAATAGGGCTCTATATTTGTTTTATTTCAAGTAATAGTGGTCCATGGACCTTATTTGTTGAATAAGCCTTATTTTTACCCATTGTTTGAAATATCAACTTAAGCATACATATATTAATCAGATATATACTTTGTCTTTAGAATGCTCATTATATTTCATTGATCTACTTGATTATTTCTGTGCTGGTGTCATGTTGGTTTAATTGCTGAGACCTTATAATTGTTTTAAATTTTTAAAAATATTTTATAATTAACTTTGACATTTGAAAAAATAAATAAAATCAATCTGTATTTAAGAAGGAAAGAAAGAGAAAGAGATGGAACTCCTACCTTTTGCAACAACATGGATGGAACTGGAGAATATTAAGCTAAGTGAAATAAACCAGTTGATGAAAGACAATTACCATATGATCTCACCTATAAGTGGACTCTATTCAACAAAATAAACTAACGAACAACATAAACCACAGGCAAGGAAACATGAGCAGACTGAAAGTAACCAGAGGGGATGGGGAAAGAGGACAATGGTGGAAAGGAGAAGGGACTAGACAAAGAACATGTATGAATGACCCATGGACATGGACAACAGGGGGAACTGACTGTGGGAGTGAGGGGTTGGGGTGGGGTGGGTGGAGGGGGCTAAAGGAGTAAAAACTGAGACAACTGTAATAGAATAAACATGATTTATAAATTTAAAAATAAATAAAAAATAAATAAAACAAAAAAAAAACAAAAAAGAAAAAAAAAAAGTATGATACCACCAGCTCTGGATTTTTTGAAGCTGCCCTTTATTAAGCTGAAGCAGTTCTCTTTGATTCTATTCAAGTGCTTTTATCATGAGAGGGTGTTGGCTTCTGTCGAATGCTTTTTCTGCTTCTCTTGAGATGATCATGTGTTTTGTCCTTTATTGTATTAATATGGTGTATTGAAGAATTTTCATATGTTAAACTAACCTTGTACTCCTGGGCTAAATCTGACTTGATCATGGTGTATAATTTTTTTTTCATGTGTTGCTGGATTCAGCTTGCAAGTATTTTGCTGAGGATTTTCCTGTCTATATTCATAAGGGATACTGATCTGTAGCTTTTTGTCTTTGCCTAGTTTTTGTAGTAGGGTAACATTGGCCTCATGGAGTAAATTGAAAAGTTCCCTCCTTTTCTACTTACCACAGTCATTCTAATGTGGAAGCCTCTGCTCCTGCCATTCCAGATCTGAAATGTTTGTGCCTTGTCTCTGAGCTGCTCCAAACCCTGCCCGTCCTTCAGAGCCAGCTCAAGGGCTCCTCATTCCTGGCCCTTCCCTGACCACTCCAGTCCCAGCCTGAGCTCACCCTTGTGCAGCCCCTTCCATTCTCACTGTGGTGTCCAGCTGACACTCACTACAAAGTGCTGTAGCTGTGCATCATATGGTAAAGGCTGGAGGTCAGGCAGAAAACTAGAAGCAGGGCAAGTAGAGTCCCAGTGAGTAGAAGAGCCTCAGTCAGGTAACGAAAAGTAGGAATACACCGGAGCCTGGTGACTCCGGACCAGCGGGACAACTCAGGCCCGTGACTAGCTCCCCTAGGAAGGCTGCCATAGAACAGTGGGGGGTTGAGAATGTACTCTTCACCGTTTGAATAGTGATTCAGTAACTTACCAGCAAGTCACTCTCTGGCCTCAGTTTTCTCATCTTTCAAATGGGGATAGTAATATCAATCTCAGATGTCTTGGTAAATATTATATGAGTTCATCTATACAAAATACATTGTAATAAGTTCAGTAAGTGGCAGCTTTAATATATGCTACAGGATAATCTCTATGAAAAAAACAGTTTGTGTTTGAAGCAATCTTGGAAATGCTCTAGATTACATCCCTCTTGCAGGCTCCCTGGGTACATTAGCACAGTGAAGGCTCTCAAAAGTCCTGTGTAAAGGATACTATTTAATTTGTTTTGGCCTGATATTTCCTAAACCTATTTGCCAAAATGATCCATTCTCCCTTTTAAAATTTAACATACATTTAACACACTTCAGGAAACAAAATATTAATTGTATTTAATTAATAAAGGAAGTCACATTAAATTATAAAAAACGGATCATGTTTTACTCTTTAGCTTTTCCCACAGGCATGTATAATTTAAAAGCAGCAGCTTAGGAGAACTGAAGGTTTCTGACCTAGAGAAAGAACAGAATGCTTTAAAAGCCCAAAGGAAATGAGCAATTTCAGGCAGAAGGAGCAGATCAATAATGAGCTATTTTTGGCCATGGAGACATTTCTAGAATTACAGATTCCTGGAGTTAAAGTTCGGCTCCTTTAAATCCTCACCAGTGCCAAAATCCCCTTCATCAGTCCCCATCCCTGCTGACACGTACTCAGCCTCCCCGTTTTCAGGCCGCTCTAGTAATTAGGAGATTCCCCCTCACACTGGGCTGAAATCGGCCTCCTTGGAACCTTTACCCAAGATCATGTTAACTGAATCTTGTGTTTTGGTGAGAGCTGTCCGTTTTGGAGATGGCAAATAAAATGTGCAGAAATTCTGTGAATCATTCATTACACGATGTAAAGTAACACATCCACTGATGGAATGGAAAACAGAAATTCTTGGAAATAACGTTGTTCATTTTTCTCCACCTTACATAGGACAAATAATCAGAAGTTTTGCTATACTGTAAGCAATGAATGGAATATTTACTTTGTGGGTGCATTTATATGGTAATTGCCAACTTCCAAGAAGCAAAAGGGGAATACATATTTTAAATGACTTCTATTTTCCTTTTTTGTTTTAAAAATAAAGAGACTTTATTTATTTATTTATATCCTTACCCGGGGATATGCTTAATATTAGAGAGAGGGCAAGAGAGGGAGAGAGACATCAATGTGAGAGAGAAACAACATGATCGGTTGCCTCTCATACACATCCTGACAGGGAATGAACCCATAACCTAGGTATGTGCCCTGACTAGGAATTGAATCCACAACCTTTAAGTTTATGGGACAATACCCCAACCAACAGAGCCACACTGGCCAGGGCTAAAGAGACATTTTAAAAAGACTCTTCATCCAAAGCTTATCCTTCCAACTTCATTATAAAGACAAGTATTAATTAAAATATAGCATATGTCACATAAATGTAGGCCTCTCAATAAGAGTCAATAATAAGACTGTGGGTGAGCACCTGTAGAGATTAAATACACTGCTTGCCTGCAGATTTTGTAATCTGTGCCCACCTGTGGTGTCTATTAGAATTTGCTTACTAATACACACCACAGAGGCTGTTTTTGTCCATGTCCTTGAAATACAGTAAAAATATCCTAGATTACATCATCTATTCCTTCAGCATGTACAGGAGGACATCACATTGTTGACAGGGTCTTAGAAACTGCAACTTTAAGCAAAACAACACACAAAGAAACCAATTTTACTATAGGCTGATATAAATAAGAGTTAAGGTCTATATTTCTGGTCACAACGACATCACTAAACTTCTAAAATAAAGACCTCCAACACTTCTACTATTAAACGCTGAGAAAAATGTGAGATACACATACATTTTAAAAAGATTAATAAAAATGAGTAAAATCATTCTTTCCCAGCCCACTTACTGCAGTTCAGGGAGGCGGCTGGCCGGAGCCTGTACCTGCAGCTCAGGGCACAGAGGAGACCCAACTCTGGACAGGAGGCCCTTCCATCGCAGGGCCACTCGCACACATACTCACTCAGACCGACAGCGCAGACACGCCAGCTCACCTCGCGTGCACAGCCTGGGGATGTGGGAGGAAATCCACACACAGTATGGCCTGCTGGAAGAATCCCTTTTTTTCTTCTCATCAATGTTACAATGAAAGGGTGTTGGAGCAAACGTTAATCAAGGTCCCGCTGTACTACATTAGGGCCATTTATGCAGTGCCAGGCATTCACAGGAAACATTTTTGATCACCTAAGATAAGGCTGAATAGAACCTGGTCCCTGACTTCATGGAACTAGCAGTCTAGTGAGTGAGAGAGACAAGCAAATGAATGATTTCCATACATAGTGACAAGAGCCAGCTGGAGGCAGGCGTGTGGTGCTAGGGGAGCGCAGGCGAAGGCTGGCGAATCAGATCAGGCAGCGGGCAAGGCTTCTCAGAGGCGCTGACTTCTAAGCTGTCAGCAGCAGAATTTAACCACCTCTGACCCCACCTTCAGCTCCCAGCACTCAGGTGAGGAAGAACCTCCCGACCCTGCTTTTCTGAGTTCTTTACACTGTCACAGTCAGACTTGGTGCCTGTGTTTGTTCCAGAGAGGGAGGAAGAGGGAGAGAGGAACAAAGAAAACAAAGAAGACTTTGACACCGCAGAGAGGCACTGGAAGTTACTAGAGATGGCCAGAGGTGTGCAGGGTGACCACCCTGTGCCTGAGAGGTCCATGTCCTCGATATGCATGTAAAAGCTAATCTGTGACCACCCTTTCTCTTTGTCCAACAATGAGACATGGAAACAAGGTCTTCTTCAATCCAAGGAACCCTGTTGAGCTAAGCCAGTGATGTGCAGCCTCCTAGCACCGTGAGGGCAGCAGAATGAAGGCGCAGACCTCTGTGTTCTCCCAGGGAGTGAGGTCACACTTGTCTACCAACTCCCCCAGGGGACTTCACAGGACACACCAAGTACCCTAAGTCTTTCACATTCCCAGAGAGGGAACACATCTGTGATTCCGCTCCTGCCTCCTTTGGGATCCTGCGCCCCATCCCAGAAGTCCACCAGAGACCCCCTCCCCGGAAGCAGTGTGAGTTGTTACCTTAGATTGTCCTCCAGGGTCTCCTCATCGGAAGAGAAGGTGCCATTGCTGATGCTCTGAGGAGAGTGGCTTTTCTTTCCTGCTGATGCCTCCCGGGAAAACGAAGTGTCTTTCTTTTTCCGTTTGCCAAACAACTTCTTAAAAGGCTGGAATTTGCCTCCCTTCTTCTTGTCTGTGGATTGTAAGAAAAACACCTGCTGCAGTTTGACAGGGCTGCACCCCAGAGCCTAAGAGCAAATTACAACTGAGCTTCCTCCGGCCCAGGGAGCCGGGGCAAAGGGCAGCCATCGGAGTGAATGAGCGACCGAGCCCTGTGCCAGGAATGCCGGGGCCTGCCCCTGTTCGTGCCGAGTCAGGTGGACACAAGCCAAGAGCACAGCGAGTCTCCTGCCTCCCGGCTCCCGGGAAGCACTTGGGGGCAACCTGAAGGGGTTTCAAGCTTCTTGGTGGCCAGCACAGCACCCCCTTGCACAGGCCTGACAGAACTGATGTCTGCTTTCTTTAACAAAGCAGATGGCCCGTGCCCTTTTCCACGGAAGAAAAACACGTAAGCCAGAGAGTCATTTTAAGAAAATTTATATATGTATATAATGTCTTCTAAAGGCCTTTAGACACAGAAGAAAACTGCTACCTCTTGATATAGCTTTGCTGCCCAGTTCCCTCCATGCCCATATATTTCTGGCTTACCTTTTGTCTCCTTTAAAACTACTATGAAGAGACCCTAAAGAACTGCTATGCATATCTTTCCATACATTAGTACTTCATGCAGTCAGGGCCCAGGCTCATGGCCAGCATTTCCTACAGATATTTTAGGTAATATCTTTCAGTTCTGCTTCTTCAGATACAAATTCCTCCACATCACTCCATTCATTCCTTGGAAAAGGAAGTATAAATCACCCCATACCAGAAGCATCTTCTCAGGCCTTTCCTTTTCTTTAAGTTTAAAGAACCACTTATCCAGTGGTCAAGCAATCTTTTTCTTAAATTATTTAACTCTTAGTATGCATTGCTGCTCTAAGAACTTTACAAATATCAGTTCAATCCTCACTGCAACTCTATAAGGTAGACACCATTAACATCCCCATTTTACAGATGAGAGGCCTGAGGCGCAGAGAGATGAAATAACTTGTCTATGTCATGGGAAACATATCTTTGAAGCTGGAGTCAGGGAAAAGGAAAACTGAAAATGCACAATGTATACAGAAAAACACCTGTAACGGACACAAAGGTATGGGCCCCCAACTTAGTATTAGAGGTCCCAGTACTTCGCTTGCCAGAGCCTACAGAGAGATCTAGATATAACAATGAGGTTAAGGATATTTAAGGTGGTCATCTTGTTTCCTCTGGTGATCTTCAGTTCTGGCCTTTCTGAGAGAAAATATGAAGTGAGGAAGAAGTGTTTTAAACCACTTTGCCCTACGCAGTGGTATAAGAGAGTGAGGAAGCAGATAACATAATCATCAATTACAAAGACATATACGGGGATCCTGAGCACAGGTGCAAATAGACCTTCAAAGGTCAGCAGTCCCTGAAACAATGCTATGTTAGGTCACATTTAGAAGGAAAGCAGATTTCTAACATATGAGATGCCTCCCATACCCAAGGCTTTGTGCTAGGCAACTAGTCCTCAAAAGAGTTCAATTTTCACTCTGTGTTACCTAAAAGACGAAGTGTGCAATGCAATTGAGACAATATCATTAAAAAATGGTAAAATAAAAAAATTGGAAGGTTTGATTTCAGAATGTTTGTATGCTTTCAGTGGTTACTTTTCAGGAGTATAGGCCTGAGATTTTCAGGACACCTACTTCCAGTTCCCACGAGCAAAATCTTCAATGAGTAATTCTCTTAAATTACCATCAGTGGATTTTGAAGACCACGAAAGAACATTAAGCATGTGTTAAAAGAACTGACCTTACAGAAAATGAGTCCATTAAAAAATTGAAATGAAAAAATTTCTGTGAGGCGTTACAGGTATCATTATTACATTATTATATAATTGGTCTTCGGCATCAACTGATAAAACAAGTGAATATTTTCTTTGTGATTATCCAAGGCTCAAAATATGCAAATGACACCATTATTGTAAACGGGCATCATTACAAATGGTCAAACAGCAATTTATGCTACATTTCACTTATTTCTGAAATAAATCCTTCCTTTTTACCTTTATATCAATTGTCTTTTTTCCACGGCAGAAATATCTAACCCCAAATTCTCTAATCAGGTATATTCTAAAAGAGCATAGCAAAATTCTAAAAACATTAGTTATGACATCATTACTAATGATGGTACTCCCTGCCTGGGCCCACTAATCCAGCTTTTAAACTACCTAGAGAGAATTTTAGACTACATCAGAATTTACTGATAGAAAAAAAAAAATCATTTGCTCTAAACTCAAGGTGGAGTCAGTGGTGCAGTGCTGTTCAGTTGAGCTGCAACCAAGGGAGTTAACTATTATTAGGGATAGATTGCAGTTTCTTGACCAGGTTATCGTGTATCTAACTAATGGGTGACTTGGTCTGTCAAGAAGGCTGATGAGGTCCGTTGTATTGCCTCGTGTCCAGAATGGTGGCAGCCACCATATAAAACATGTGCTGCATAGGTCATACTGTGGGGCAGCCAGAAAGGGAACAGAGCCTAGAAAGAGCTCTCTTGTGTATTCATACAAACGCGAGGGCGGGACACAAACAGCCTTGGGGAGGGTGCCAGGGTACGGGAGCCTCAGTTCGGAGGACTCGGTGGGCTGCATGCGAGCACAGGACGGCCTCCTTCAGGTGGTCCTGCCTGCAGAGCTGGCCCGTGTGAGGACTGCCTGTGAACCAGGCACGCTGGCAGTTACACAGGCAGTGACCGGCGTGAGCACACACCTATTGTCCTGGAAGATGGGTCAAAGTCCAAATGTCAGCACACTGCTCCGAAGGACCTAGGAAAAGCTGTCTCAGCAATGCCTTGGTTATTATCAGGAACATAAAAGGACGATAAAATGTAACTGAACTACCCATCCAACAACCATTCCTTCTTACCATAAGAAACACCAATTTCTCTTCAGGGGAGGGATGAGAAGACAGAAGCTTACAAGTCTGCTCCAAAGTCTTAGTGTTTGGTCATATCTTGGTTATAAAAAGTAACTTCCCCCTTCCTCATTTTCAAAATTAATAATACATTTTCTGTCAGAAATATCTTTATATTTTAAATACAATTTAAAAGTTTGCTTTTATGATATTTTTACTATTGGCTGTGGCAATTAATTAATTTGCCAGGGCTCACTTGATGAAAAGTCCCAGTAACTACATTTAGGCCCACTCTCCGTTCAGGCAGCAAACTGTGATGAAGCAACATCAATAGGGAAGGAAACTTTATAAATCAGGTACGAAGTTGAACTTTTATTTACTTGATCTCCAAGCTTTATTCTCAAAGTTCAGTATAACATCCCTAACATCAAAAACACAAGTATCTCAATTTTACAAAACATTTGCAATTCTATGCCACAACACCCATTATGAAAAGCTGAGCTGTGTCTAAAACTATGCATTAAATAAACTATTTTAAGATCAATTTATAACTGGGGGCTGTATTAACAGCCTGTCTCCACAGAATCAACTGGATTAAGTGCACAGTCATCACTAGAAGCTATTTCCTTGACAAATAACGCCAACTGTTATTGTGAATATTTTTGTACAGATGGGGCCTAAAAGATCAAAGCAATTTTAACAATGCATTAAAACAGAGCACTTCTGCAATGTTAATGTGAAATAGTCCCGAATACAACTGCCACAGGGAAGGAGTACAGTTTAGCAAAGTGTTCTCTGAAATTAGAGTATTTAAGATGGCACTTTAGAATTTTACAATACAAATTTACTTCTGTCGGGTGGTTGTGACAGTGGGGAGAAGCAGATAGGGGGAAGGAGAAATGTTCCATCTATTACATTGTTTCTTTAACTGGCCGCAGCTCTAGTTAAGGGTTAAGTATATGGGCCCCAGAGATAGGAATAGTTGGCCCAAATCCTGATCCCATCTCTTATTAGCTATGAAACATCTGCTTACCAGCCTCTCTGGAAAAATGTACCATCTTAAGATGTAAGAGTGGATTTATCGGAGAAAAGACAGTGGGTGCCACATTGTCTTAATGTTTCACCATTTTTGTGTTGTAATTTTTCACATGAAAGAACCTATATAGGAATATACACTGCTTTTAGGGAGCATGGTAATTTTCACTCTTTGAGCACTGAAATGAATTAATTTATTTTCATCATCCAATAATGACTTTAGGGAATTTTTTTTCATTTAAAAAAGTGCTCATTATCCATTATTTCATGGATGTAATTATGTACCATTTTCTGGCTGCATCATCATAATTGCTAGCTTACACAGAAGACTCTAAAAATTAAAAATCACTGGGCAAGTCAAGCAAATCTGATTCATTTTCCATTTGTCATAAGGATGCAATTCTAACATTTTCATTTCTAAACATAAAAAAATAAAAGCATACAATTTCTCTGCATTGGATTATTTATATGGTAGGCTTTTAAATGAAAAACAGAATTTCCTATCACAGTTCATTTGGAGCACCATGTTTTAGTCTGGGGTTTCTCTGACTGTGCCCTGTGGGTCAGTACCAGATTCTTATTTCAAGACCAGTGCATTTGAGAGTCCAGGTAAAATAAAGTTAAATATGTCTCTTTACTGTGAGACCCTTCAGAGTCTTTAATATGCTGATATCACTTTGCTCTCCAAAAGAACAGAGATGGTGTAGTGCTCCCAAAACTTGTTTGGTCATGGAAACTTGATTTTTTTAGACATCCATTATGATTAGCATTCCTCTGAACATAGGCTGGAAAACTTGCCTTCACTATTTCTTTCAAATGTCTTTTAGTTTCTTTAGGTCCCATGTATTTCATAACACACATCTCCCCTAAACGCCAGACTGCCCCGCTCAGTAAACCCGAGTGAGGTGACTTAAACATTTTGGTTAAAGAAACCTAACATTTTAGGCCAAGTTCTGATTTCAAACATGTATACATTACATATGCAAATAGCGTATATTAAAACACGGAACACAGCAACTGTCTGAATCATATAATTTTACTAAAGGGGAATTTTGCAATGCTTTTGTTAGCTCTGGAACACTGGAATACTTTGGAGAGGGAACTGTCTAGTAAAAAAGAGAC